AAAAGAATAAGATAAGACTATAAGAGCAAGAAGCAATTTAAATATGTTCAGGGACCATTTTCATCTTCAGAATTAAAGATTATTTTAATGTTACATCATTGCCTTTTCTCTTTTACTTTCCTTTTTAGTTTTATTTTAGGATTCCCTATTTTTAATGTTCATACAGAGATTTCTTTAACTGAAATACCGAATAGTTTCTTTGGTGTGAAAAACTATAATAGTACACAGGATCCTAATGAAATAATTAATAATGTGAAATAGGAAGTAAAGGGCTAAAGGTGTAGGGAAAGTGGGAAGGGTGGGGGAAAGGTAATAAGGGAGAGGAAAAAAAATATGAGAAACTGAAAAAATGGAAACAAAGTGTTTGTAAATGGGGAGGGGAGTAGGGGGTGAAGGGAGGGCAGGGACAAGGGGTAAAAATGAGAATCAAGACCTATTATGTAAAGGTACAGAATCCTAATGATGAATGTAACTGTATTGTATACCTAGATTGTACCAATAAACTCAATAAAAAGAAAAAAAACAATAAAATAACATAGGACTTATGTATAGCCTGTGCACATCTCATACACTTTCCTTCCTTTCTAAATTTCTAAATTTTTAACACATTTTCCATCTGTGGTTGGTTGAATCCATAGATATGAAACCCTACATATGGAAAGCTGACTGTACATAAAGAAGCAAATAAACATTACATGTGTACTTGTATTCAGCGGATGGAGATATCCACTATAAATATTTTGGAGAATTTATTTTTATTTGTAGAATATATTTTTGGGATTATTAAATTTAATTTAGGAAATCTTAATTGAAAATATGCATTTGGTCACCAATTTGCTAAACAGAAGCAAGGCAAGAATTCCCTTGGTTGTTCTTAATTTAGCTTTATAAAAAGACTTTAAAATTATTGCCTTGAAGATTTCCATTTTGAAACTTAAGTACAATATTTTACATTTGCTCCTTCAAATTTCATTTTTTTTAAATTCAATTTACTATGCCAACCTCTCCTTCAAATGCCCTTCCAGCCCCACAACTTCATAGCGCACATTGAAAGAGGAAAAGATAGTCATAATAGTAGCCAAACACCACGT